GACTTGGTCTTCTTGGATCATCATATAACTAAAACAAGATAAATGATAAGAAATATGAGAAAAGAAAGACAACACACACGCATGGACATGAGTGCTAATTAATAGGGTGGGGTTGAATAGCAAGAGATGAACATGGGTGGGGTCAGTTTGCAAATAGAGAGATTGAGTCATTGACACACATCATATCCCTCTTAAATACCATATTAAGACCACTTAACTAATGTCATCATTATTGGGCTGCTCTTTTCTATTTATTTATTATTATTATTATTGTTCTTGTTATTAGATAAGCAATGTTATGATCATATTCATCTAATTGTATTGCATATATATGATATATTGTTGGATGATATTTTTTTTTAGGACCACTTAAAATTGGCTTCTGACTCGGAAGCACGATGTTTAATAATTAATCATTTGAAGAAAGAAACACTATTGTATAAGAATTATATATGTAGGTTAATTGCAAAGCGCACTTGTAATTAAAAAGTTCAAAAAAGTTTTGAATCTCTCAATTTCTACTTTATATGTAATTCTTCAAACACTATTGTATAAGAATTATATATGTAGGTTAATTGCAAAGCGCACATGTAATTAAAAAGTTCAAAAAAAGTTATGAATCTCTCAATTTCTACTTTATATGTAATTCTTCAAACACTATTGTATAAGAATTATATATGTAGGTTAATTGCAAAGCGCACATGTAATTAAAAAGTTCAAAAAAAGTTATGAATCTCTCAATTTCTACTTTATATGTAAGATATGTTGTAGAATTTATAATGGAATTGATAATACTAAAGCATCTCCAATGGTTGGAGTGGATTGACAATTGAATAGACGGTCTTCTGGTATACTTGGAAAGAATATAATGTCATGTTGATATGTAACTCTCCAGTGGTAGATGTCTAAACACTGTAAATGTTTATATACGTGTTTTATTTTTTTGAATAGCTATCATCCACAACCCAATTGATATTCATCAAGTTTTTATATCAGGTATATTTATTTTTTAAAGAGCTACCACCCAAAGCGCAACTGATATTCATCTCGCATTTTTTTGTATTCATCTGGTATTTTTTTTGTATCAGATTTTTCTAACAACTGATTTTATTTATTTGTATTCATCAGTTATTATTTTTCTTTTTTTTCTTCTGCATTCATATCGTATTTTTTTATTTTATCAAATTCATCTGGTATATTTTTTGTATCAGGTATTTTTGTGTTCATTACGTAATAATAGATTTTAATTAAAAAAAAGAAGTAAAAATGAGAAAAAAAAATGAGTCATCCATTCTGGAAGGACTTTCAGATGTAGACAGACTTCTACAATTTTTTATTCTCTCTCATGCCACATCATGACAAGAAGAAAGTAAAATATCACCGTTGGAGGAGTGTTTTTGTCCTAATGCATCTACAATTCTACAATTTATAACATACCATTGGAGATGCTCTTAGGCAGCCAACGGTTAGGCTACACATTGTGCTTTTTTTTAAAAAAAAAAATATATATATATATATATTTATATTTAAAAATGTCATACTTTTGTTTATGTATGTCACTTACGCATGAAAATATGCATATAGTAAGGTTGTCTAACATCTAGCATGTCTACAATAGTCTTACCATTATTTTAATTAGATAAAAATTCACCATGTTTCAATTTTCCTTTCTTCCGCCATGTTTTTCTTACCAGATGGACAAGAAGACTAATGGTAGAGCTGTTAATGATAAATTGTTCATTAGTTCGGTTTGTTGGGCTTGAAAAATATTTTCTTTATGTAGTTTCTCAAATTTTTAGCACGATTCAGCTCATTAAGTCTCGTTAACCAGCCAAGTTTGAGCTCGTTTATCAACTTCTTAATTTAAAGGCTCGAGTCGATAAGAGCTGGAGTCTAATCTAGGGCATAATAAAGGGCTCCAACATGTCTCAACTCTTTTACACATTGGATATGAGTAAAAATTGTTTCTCTAATATAAAAATGTTAGATTTTAGGAAACTAATAAAATTTAAGACAATTGTATCGTACGAGGACATACTGGTGAAAAAAAAGGTCAATTTTGCTACGGAACACTATTGTTCTTAAAACAACTTGATGTAAATTGAACTAATTATAGAAGAGGTACTAAAATAATTCATCAATTTTCGTTTCATGTTTCATTTTCACGCAGTATATATGTACATGGAAATCGTGTGATGCAGCCTTGATGATTGATAAATGATGAAATGAAGGTAGGGACGTGTGGAAGGAGCTTTTAATTATAATAGCTTAGATTGCACAATTCACATTTTGATTTTGATGATGATTGATGTGGACATGCTTCTATACTTTCTTATTTTTTGTAAATTTTTTAGTTGTTTATTGGGTATTATTCGAGCTGATTGAACTCAGTAATTCATGTTCGAATTCGTGTTCGTTTAATAAATGATTCTACTTTACGCGGCTCGATTAGTAAATGAGTCAAAAGTTTGAATTATTTAAGATTGTGAAAGAAGCTCGGTCGGACTATTTTATTTGAAACCCGTATAAAATAAACATAGAAAAATGAGTTGTTGGCAAATAAGTTAATGTGTCCACTGAAATTTTCGTGATATTCATGTGTGGCATGCGTTGTTTGGAATATAAGATTTTTTTTTTATTTTTTTATTTCTATTTATCACGTAGAATTATATCTTGTGCAATCTTTGAGATCGTGCCAAACAAACACAGCCTTGAGGTGCCAATAGTTATCTACTTTTTGGGCCACATTGGGTTTGGTCTTTTTCTCAATCTTTGGGCCAGACACCATTTTTGGGAGTCATTTTGCGGCCTTTTGGACTGACTAAGAAATTTCCTCAATTATATTAGTATGGAGTATAGAATCCTGGCCTGGGAACATTGCAAATGGTGGGCCAGGCCCAAACGTAGATCCTTACCAGTTACATGCCGAACCAAAAAAAGTGAATAAAAGAAAACACAAAAAGAATTTTCACAGGTTATGGTTAGTAATGCTGGCGTCTCAAGTAAACGGTACAGTGCGCCGTTTGCGGGACTCGAACGCACGAGCACATGGTTAAAAGCCATGCGCTCTACCGACTGAGCTAAGACGGCTGTTAAATTTGCTGACCTCAACAACGTATTTATAGGAATTATCATATACTTTAAATTCGAACTTTCTATCATTAGTGGGTCGCACACAGCAGAGCACCAAGTAAAACTGTCCTCCGTGCATGTAGGGTTAACTTAAAAGCTCACTTTGAGATATTCAAAGTTTTTGTCCTCTCTTTTTCTTTCTTCTTTTCCTTTTTGTTCTTTTATTAGTTGATTTATTGAAAATCTTTTATACCACGAGGAAGAAAGGCAAACCGATTGTATTCATATTTATGATTTTTTGGTTAAGTCTTGGAAAAGTTCAACTCGAATCATTCGTCTACTTAAATGATTCAAGCTCGAGTAGTTAATTGAGTTTGTTTATAAAATAAGTTGAACCGAACTTAATTGTTCAGAAAAGCTCATTTTTTAGTTTTAATTTTTATTATTTATGATTTTTAATGAGGTAATTAAACCACTTATTTGCTAACTCAAACTTTCATGAGCTTAATCGAGGCTATAGGTTTGTTGCATAAATTCAAAGGAAAAGCTAATTATGAAGAAAAAAAAAAGGATTATGAGTTGACATACAACACACACATTCTTTATTCCATCATTAAATATACTCAAGTTATGTATATTAAAAGCATTTTGAAATCTACTTATGACTAAAAATTTTCTTTAACCAACAACATAACAAGAATTAAATTTGTCCTTTGAGTATTTACTCTAAAAAAATTCTTCAAACTGTAATTGTATTGATGAATTAATTTCCCTTTCAAGGTCAATGATCAACCACAAGTCCACCAAAAAACATTACTACCTAAAAGGAGATAATTATATTATCAAAACAAAAGGCAGGGATTAGCCTTCCGGTTAGTGCTATGATGAAAGGAAAATGCTAAAAAGATTTTCTAACCACAATAATAGCTAAAGGTAAAGAGGTACACACTCACTCACAAATGAGATTGCTTTATGTTGCTTCTTTTTATTGAGAATTTTCCTAGTTGGCTTATGAAAGTTAGACTGCTGTTACACATTTCTAATGGTTAATTAAATAACCATATTTTCAACAAATATGTATCATTTTAAATTGAAATGTCGTATTTTAAAAAATAACATAAAAAAAAGTATGTCATTGCATAACATTAATACGCATTTTTAAGAAATAAAAAAATAAAGTATGATTGGATCATCCATCCAATTATTAGATTGCGATCTTATACAAGAATTTGCATTGTTTTCCGTTTTCTATTTATAATATTTGAATTTTTTTATTTTTGGTTAAAAAGGAAAAAAGGAAAACAATTTTACTTCAAACCCCACACTATAGTGCTCTCATACACTCTTTTCTTCTTCCTATTAGTAAAGAGGAGAAAGCTAAAGAAGCCCATATCTACACACATTCCCTTTTAAATTCCCCTCCACACAAGCCTGAGAAAAACTACACACATTTTTCCCATCTAAATTTCATAATCACAAAGCCAACCTCAAGTATTCTTGAAGCCTTTAATTTCTTGAGGTCAAACATGGATGTGAGCAAAATTCCCATTTTTTTTTAATCTTTTTTTTTTTCATTTTTTAAAATATTCTGACTTGGTTCTTGATTAGTTCACACATTCTTTGTGCAGGAATATATTTTCAGGAGGACACACATTCCTGTGTTTGGGAGCTGGGATTGGGATAACCAGACGCCATTTACTCAGTGCTTCGAGTCGGCAAGGCCGGAGGGGCATTTCCGGTATAGCAACTCCGAGGAGGAAAGGGACTTGTACATTGCTGGTGATTTGTATGAGAATGATGTTGTAACCCCTGCTATGATTGTCGTACCTCGCCGCCTCACGGTAAGGCATCCATCCGTTCATGCTTTTTCCTTGGCATGTTACGCTTAAAAATGTGAACTTTTACCTCATGAAATTGAATATATTTCCCCTGTAGTTTTTTGTTTGCCTCTAGTCATGAATAGTTTCATTTATTTTGATCTTTTTTTTTTATATATAGTTTTTGCATATACTTACCAATCAATATTTGGATTTCATATTTCTTGATGAATAAATTTATCTTAGAAGTAAATATGTTGCTAGGCACGGCGTAACTGTTCGGCAGTCGTATTTTTCCCAAAAAAAAAATAAAAAAAAATGTACTCCAAAAAATCAACATAAAAATGGTTATGACATCTCATATCATGACATAAGCAATTATTTTTATAACGAATGTATTATGATCCTAAAAATGATACATTCTGAAATAGATTAAAACAGCAATCGACGCAAAATTCCCAATAAGGGGAAAAAAATGTGATTTTTCCAGTGCTAATTTTTGCTATACAGCTGCAGACTTGCATCATACTATCATAGTTTATTATCTTGGATTCTTGATTAAATAATTCATGTATGAACTATTTCCTTGATAAAGATTGGAACTTTAGATGCATAAAGACAGATTCTTTTAGTGATGTGCCCTTCTTTAGTGCATTCATTTTTAACATTATCTGTTGTTAATTTTTTTGCTTTAAATGTATATGCAGGAAAAAGCAGGATATACTAAAGAGAAAGATTGTGAATGTAAGCTAAAAGCTCCACCAAGCCTTGTCTCAGCTTCTTTTTCCACTCCTACGTATATAAACCCGCCAAAAGCTGTAGACGAAGATTTGTACAAAATGTCCCCTGATATCGTCCGAGCCAAGAAAAAACGAGTAGGTCACTTAGTCCCACCGGATTATTATTTTTCTTGGCGTTTTTTTTTTCTTTTTTTTTTTTTGGATTAAAAGGCATTCTTGATCATTCATTTGAAGGGATTAAAATTGGATAATGCCATAATCTTTATGATTGTTCAACTCTTGACGATTAGCGATATTTATTCAACTGGTAAATGGGTTCTTTTTTTTGTTATAAGCCTGAAATAAAAGAAGCAAATAAAATTTCGAAGTAAAATGAACGATTTTTGTTTCTTTTGGTGAGTTGTTACTAATATGATGAGTGCTTGTTTTTTATTTTATCTGCAGAAGAGGTCACGGGGTTTCTTTTCGAGCTGCCTGCGTTTAGATTGTCTCGGTTGAATCGTGCAAGCTTGATTATTTGGTGAAAAATGTTGCAAAATATTGTTAGCATAGCTAACATGAGTGTAAGTTTTTTGGTGTGTGGTTGCATATATGCAGAGGGCCAAGTGATGTATTTGGTGGAAAATATATAATAAATTCAGTATTATTATCGTATTATGAATTTATTGTAATTAAATTGAGTCTTTTTTTCTTCTTCTCTTTTTAGGGCATTTTTTAAGCATGTGTACACATACTACAACCCACAACATAAAAAAAATAATAATAATAATAAGATCTTTCATAGTATAAATAAGTATTTTTTTTTATAAGAAAGGTAAGATATTTTCATAGTCTACATAAACATTTCTTTCTTTCTTTTGCAACCAAAAAAAATGTCTTTC